GTATATCGTGTTGGGATGGTCTTCATCACTGATGAAAGTCATTTAAAGATGCATCCAAACCAAGCAACCCCCACACCTTGGGAGATTTGGACCTATTTCTGAGCTCTCTGTGGCTTGGACTTGAATGCTGATTTACATTGGATTGAGGTGGTTAAGAGTTAAAATCTCTTTCCTTTGCATCACAAGTAATTCTGCTGGTATATATGAGCACTGAGAGCCCCTGCGCTGAACTCAAGCCCTGCAGGAAACCGGCCCTGAGACCATTACAGCCAAAAAAATGCAGACCAAGCGGAAGGTGAGAGACCGAGGTTCTCTCTCCATGAAACAGGTCCAGCATAAGCAGCAATTTCCTGTCACTACCCTGCCAAAACATCTCAGCCTTCAGCTGGAAGAGGATTCAAAAAATGAAGTTGAGCTTTTATGGTTCATGACCTTATTTATGCAAATGCCTCTCTGCAGGTGCTGGGTCTGAGATGCTCCAACTCATTGCACAGCCAGGCACTGGCCATAACTTTGGGTTCCTCTGCACTGTAGATGTACTCAAACCAGCTGCAGCTCCCCACAGGTTACCTCAGCTCCAGCAGAGCTCAACACCAACACGTGAGCACCTGAGCTGGCCTCGGTATCTCTATGCTGTGCTGCCATGGAATCAGCAACCTGGCAGCAAAGGTTTTCAGCGCAATGACTGTCTCACCTATTCCTCCGGCACTGCCTCGAAGCCAAGATGCGTGGTTGGCGAAGCAATAGCAAAGAGCTGCACGTAAACACTTGTTGACATAACCATGGTCATTGTCACACACACTTGAGCAGAAGCTGCCACCTGCTATAACACACACCCTGCTAGGACAAAGCACGAGCTAGTACCATTGGTGTCCTTAATGCCTCGTCATCCAAAATAACTCTACGCTAAGAGAATCCAGTAGAAAGCATCAGCTCTTGGAGGATCCTGGCTTCCGAACAGCTTAGTTTACAAAAAATATCGTGGAGAAAAAGTAATTCAACAACCCACTTGCACAAAGCACAAGCACAAAGAAGATCTGTAACAGAGACCAAAGCAGCAAACTTGTGAGGACAAGACGCTTTTGATTTCCAACTATCACCTTGAGCGCAGAGGCATTATGAGCAAATTGTTCAAGAACTGCAGTGTTGCTGAAAAGGTGATGATGCTTTTGACCAATTAAAGCAATGTGTTCTAAAAGGACAGTTTTGACTACTTGGGATGTAGAGGAGTTTTGGGTGGGCTTAGGGGATGGAACTGCACCACCAAGAGCAACACAAGATTTCACATGCGGATCATGGTTTATGCTCGAAGACCACTCCCTGGATGGGAGGATGCTGGTGAAGGCATCTCACCAAGCCAAGCCAGATGCTGCAGTTTTGCACGAAGGAGGAACAGGCCCCCAGTCCCTGCTTCTTAGAGCAAAACAGACCATCTACAGCAGACCAAGATTAAAGCCAGGCTCCAGCCAGCCGGGGACATCCGCCCCTTTCTACATCCCCAGACCCAGCTGGTCCCATCTCCACTGTATGGAGTCACTGGCACGGTGACAGGCAACGCACAGACAGATCCCAGGGAACGAGCCAAGGGAATCCCACCCTTATCTTCTCTTTATAAATGGTTTAGGGGCCAACATGAATCGCACTGAGGGCAACAAACGGGGCCACTGGAGAGCAGGATGTTGCTCATCCCATGCTGGATGATAGCCTAGTTACAGAAGAACATGGAGTGAGCAAGCCAAGAACTCGGCCTTCTGCTCATTGCAATTCCCTGGGTTTATCAAGAGGAACTCCACCCTCAGCCTGCACCTGCCCCAGTGCTAATTCCCAGGGCCACAGGACGGGCGTTCTGGTGAGGAACATCCCCGAGGAGCGGCTCAGTCGCAGGGAGATGGCTTGGGTCTGAGAGTTCAAGCCAGGGGGTGGCAGGGGACCCCAAGTGCTCTGGTCAGGAACACAATGGAAGTCAGACGAGGCCCCTCTGCATCATTTCTCTGACACTAATTCTGCTCTGCCTTGTCTCACCTAAGTCGCTGCCAGTGGACAGAGCCCAAAGCGTCCAGCAGCACATATTTTGGGATGAGTTTGTGTGTGTGTGAGCGTGTGAGCCAACATCAGCCCCCCTTTCCTTCCCAACCACCCCCCTTGGCCAGGCGAGGCAGGGGGACCAGGCTCAGGACCACCCCACGGCTCTGTGACAGTCCCAGCCCCAGGCACATTTGGATGGTTGATCCACCATCACCTGGGGGATCCCAGACCCAAACCAAGTAAGACTACCCAGAACTGAAGTACAGCCCCCAGTATCACACACGCACACACGCATCTAGATGCCGAGTGGGCTCTCAGGACCCCTTTGAAGCTGCTGGCAAGAATTCCTCCTCCTCGCCCACGTTCGTACCAAGAACTTCTCATCGCAGGGTTGCTCATCTGCCAGGATAAAGGGTGGTGGGTGGTGATGGAGGGGCTGGAGGAGGCAAGGCAGAGCCAGGGGCATGGTATCGGACACGAAGCAGCTCTGATGGGGTGCTCCAGTGCCTAGGTTTCGTTTACGAGGGATCAGAAGCATTTTCTCCTTGTGTCGTCTTCAAATAATATTGTGCGTTTCCTTGAGCTGAATGTCTCTGCTTTTCCTGCTTATGATTCTTGCGGAACCACTTCCATCAGTTTCTGGCACAGGACTGTTGCGGAGACTACGGGGAAGAAATCAAAGTACAGGTCAGAGATCGCACACCGGTGCCCACCATGGATCTTGGTCTCGGTTCGTGATACTCTGCCTGAAAAGGGCTGACCCATTTGCCTCCCCACCGTGGTTCTGAGAAAGAGTAGTCCAAATACAATTTAAGACGATACTGGCTGGTATCCAGACACACCTGTGCTTTCTGCTGCTTCACTGGATGTTTGGAGATCACAAGACAAGTCTTGCCAGGTAAAACTAAAACTAATTCTAACTACACACAAAGTTAAACTCAGCTGGAAGTGATCAAATTATCTGCAATAGATGAATATACGCGTGTTTAAAGTTCACCTCTTTCTAACTGGACATTTGCAGGATTATCATTATGTGTTCCCAGAATATTTTCTATATTCTCCTTACAAGCCTTTGGTGGTGGAAAACAATTAGTCTGGTAATTTGCCACCCAGGCACTGCAAAAATGGCTTTTCCAGGAACTGAGCCTAATACTCAGAATAAAAAAAGTGAGAGAGAGAGAGAGATGGGAGGAAAAAAAAAGAATAATAAGTGCTGAGCACTGTTAAAAGCCTTTCTCTTCTTCATAAAAAGCATCCAGCTAAAGGTTGGGCATTTCTACTTGTCTGCTTTTCTAGGTCAGCCTGTTGTGAGAGCTGGGAAGCAGATGGTAAAAGTTTAGTTACTCGGACAACACGGCCTGACATGTAACAGAGGTTATGTGTGCCAACCACAGCCCTCTCCATCCCTTCAAAACACACCGTGGTGTAGCGTCAGCTGCTGGAAAACCTCATAAAAAGATACCTTAAAAATAAACCTCGTAGAAGAAAACATCCAGGAGATTTTCCCCTCCCTCTGCTGCCACATCTGGATGCCAAGGAGAGCTTTGACCGGATCTGAAATATTAGCACTGGCTGAGCGCGATGGATTGGGACTAATTCTGAATTTTCAGCAGTCAAAGCGAGGCCAGCTGTGCTCAGATTGTTATGCTGTTATTTCTTTTTCCTTCCTACACCCCTAGAAAGGGATTGTCTACCCACAAAAGGCTTCACCCTGTGCTTTTACAGGAGGCAGGAGAAAGGCAGTGACATGCTCCGCGAGTTACGCTCTGCTGCAAAACAGCAATCTGTTTGCCAAGATAAAATAAAGAACATGGTATTTGGCCCAAATTTTGCAATTATCGCAGGTCAGGGTGTGTTTTAGGTGCTTGGGAGATAAGGTAATCATCAGGTTCAAACTTGTTGCTGTTAAAGAAGAATTGATCAGAGCCAAGACACTGGAAGCCTCCACTACCCAAAGGAGAGCCAATGCTACCAGCTGGAGCACGCTTGCCTGGAAGCTGCAATTTTTTTCTATTTTTGGAGCAAAAGCCAAGGCTGCAGCCTTGCTCTTCCCTGGTAATACTTACAGATGCCTTGGAGAACCCACTTGGGCTTGTTTTGCCACCAGACCCCAAAGAAGTAAACAGGGATCCCGCTGAAGATGATTGCAAAGCCGATCGCACATTCCTTCGGGGTCATCCAGAAGGAAACCGCAATGAGAAACAGGCAGGCCAGGATGAAGAAAATGGGCAGGCAGATGTTCACCTAAACAGGGACCCAAAAAAGCCAGATGAGAAGGTGTATCAGGGGAACAGAGTACACTTTCCAGTGGATTTTATCTAGGGAGGGAAGGAGTTGATATTCCACCATGGACCCTATGGGAACACTGCTGCTGTCTGTCCCAGGGCTCTGACAAGGGGACCGTCCCCATGACCTGCCATGGGGCAGGTATCGATTTAGGCTGGGCTCTTCAGCAATCCTGGAGGAAATGGAAGTGGGGAACACTTGCCATGCACATTTAAAACCAGCAAAACAACACACGGAGATGTGGCTTGCTCAGAGCAATGAGCCTTTCTCAGCACCGTTTTTTTAACCCCAATTCCATCCTTGAATGATTCCTTATAAAAAGCACCTGTACCAAGGGCATCAAACTCAGCAGCAACCACAGCACAAGCCAGAGCATCTCCCCAGCACGTTCTCAGGGGACGCTGCTCTGAGCAGGGCACCTCTGAGAGCAGCTTTTGGAAGAAAAACCAAAAAAATCAAAGGAAACTCCCTGCAAAGAGTTCCTTTGGGAAGGCGCTGGTGCAGGGCCGTGAGTTTGTTTCTCTCTGGCTGCCTGTTGCCTGGCAGAGACCCGAGTGTGCTGGGGGATGAGTGAGAAACATGCCTTTGAGGAAGGCAGACATGCTTGTGGCTGACATGATCTTGGCCTCCTCCCAGATGGGACACGGTCCTGCCAAGCTGGCCAAGGACAAAGAAAACAAAGTTCTCATCTCTGCAGGCGTGGGTTTGTCTGCTTTATTAAAGAAACTATTTTATTTATTAAAAAACTATTTTCAGTGAATTCCACGATGGCACAGAGCATTTCACTGAGAGCCATAGCCTATGATTTGTCCTGGGGAATATGTTGGTCATCGAGAGCTTCCCACTGGGCTACCCCAGCAGAACACCCACAGCCCCTGTCACTCTGATGTCCCCATGGCCAAAGCAGCTCTTCATCCTCCTGCACTGGTTCATATTCAGCAGATTTCCATGCAGCAGGGACACCTGTGTTAGCTACAACACAATATTTCACCAGCATGCTTGCAATCCCAGACCTTCCTCCATACTTGCTGAACCTTCGCTGAGAAGGGACCCTGGGATGTCCCACCACGTGATTGTCACACCATTCTCACCTTGATGGGCCTTTCCAGCTCTGGCTTCTTGTAACGCAGCCACATCATGCCGATGATGGCCAGAGCCACGCACAACCAGTTGAAGAAACTGAAGAAGTTGATGACTGAGAAAATGTTGTTGGAGAAGGCATAGAGCAGGGTCATGATGCACTGCATCCAGAAAAAAAAAAAAAAAAAAGCCATTAGCAAAGGGAATAGGCAAAACTACTTATGTGACAACACTAAATGCAGGTATTTTAGAAGAACTATCTGCCAGGAAAAGCATCATGTTGATTATTTTTTACTTATCCAAGCTATTTTCAATTGGTGGAACTCCACAGAAGTGGAGTATGAGGATATGATGAGAAGGAGAAGGATCTGTCCTCTGCTGTAGGTGCTGCAGGAATGGCTGTGTCTGGGGGTGTCCCCACGTAGCCCCCCTTCAACCACTCTGATGAGATCCTATCCCCAGCTCGTTTGTCAAAACCAAGTCGATGCTCATCACCGCAGACCCAGATGCTCACCGTAAAGACGAGGGACGGCACGGGGGTGAGAAGCCTGGGGTGAATCATAGACAGGATTGAAGGCAAGTGTCCTTCTCGGGACCCCACGAAGAACAGCCTGGGGAGGGCAAGACAGACCCGTTATCACCTCTGCAACCCTCAGCCCTGGGCTGGGCTTTGCCTTCAGCACAAAACAAGCAGGGACAGCCTAAGCTCAGCCTAGTGCTGAGGCAGCACGATGGAAATGCTGGGACTCCGTGCAGGTTTTCCACCTCAGCGGTGCCTTGCATGACACCAGCTGTGCCCTTTTGCTGGTCACTGGCTCCGGAGTGGGGACGTCCAGGAGCAGACCCCAGCACGAGGTGTTCTGCACATACGCAGTGGGAAGTCCCTGGCTGGAGATGGACAAAGAATGCAAGAAAAGGCGCACTGATGTCCTCCTTGCCAGAGAGAGCAACGAAGTGACTTTCCTAAGCTAACCTGGGAGACGTGTGTCAAGGCTGGAACCATCTCAGTCCCCATCCTGCCCCGTCCTGTCTCCCCTTTCTGGAGGGAACCTCAGCCCTGAAGTTTCCTAAGTTTCTGCTTTTCATTAAAGCCCCTTTCTCAGGCAACACCCCTCAGCCCCAAGCCTCTCTTTGTTTATGTTCTAATAACTTCACCAGGACTTTGCCTGAGGAACAGAAGACTAAGACCACTAAAAGGGTTTCCTGTAAACTGCATATGGTTTTGAAGTCTTACATTTTTTTTCTGCATTCCCCACATGGCCTCCAGACCCTGTACACTTTGTGTCCACCCGCAGCCACTCTTTGGAGGACAACTCCAAATGAAGAGGCTTGAAGCCTGACTTGTAAACAAAAACCACAAAATTGAGCAAGAATCCTACCGGGAAGAAGTGAAGAGAGATCCGTTCACAGATCCAAAGCACGATAAGCCAACAAAGACCGGTATGATCCAGGACATGACACCAAGGTGGTAGTTCCCAAAATCCTAAATGGGGGTAACAAGACAGACATTTCACACCTAGGATGTCCAAAAGAACTCGCAGCTGCCTACAAAGACTTAGTATTTGTAGAAATCTGAACAAATGACTTGGCTCAGCGCTGTTATGGAGTTTCCATATCACCATGTGCTGCTCCTCCTTCCTGAAAAAGTGTATTATGGAAATTGCAAAAAAATCAGCAGAGACATGAATACATTGATTTTAAGACTTCCAAAGGCACACAACTAGAGCAACACAACCCAGGCTGGTGTCTCCAAAAACATAGCATACGTGCAGGCTGGAGCTGGGGCTGGGTCCCAAGCTGAAGGACGGAGCAAGGTCACCTGAGTGGCCCTGACCAGCTTACCCTGCACTGGGACATTCCCCTCGAAGCACTGAACAATCCTGGTCACGCTCAGTTTGCAAGGTCATACCATGCTGCTGGCTTCTGAAGCAATCAGGATTTCTGACCTCAGTGGCATTTTAATTAATAGAAGTATTATTTTCCTCTCGTAATTAAAACAAGGAAGATACAGAGAGCTACAGGACAATCTAGTTCAGTATCGACTGAATGACCTTTTCCCATAAATATCACACTCTGGTAACTGATGATAAGTCATGAGGCCAGCAGCAACCTTGCATATTTAGGAATCTAGAGCATCGCTGCCTGTATGCCCACCCTTACTATTGCCTGTGATTAATCCCACTCGGTATCACCCTGTTCTTCCCTGCTCCCGTCACCGTTGCTCTTTATCTCCTGTCAAACATCAGCTTTTTCTGTAAGCAGCCACGATCCCCACGCATGCACGCAGAGATTGTGAAGTATGATTTAACCAGCCCTGGAAAACAGATGAGTCACGTCACAGCTGCTCCCATCTTACCACGGCCACAGCTTCGGACGTCAGCATCTGCTCCGTCGACAGCGTCGTGAAGTACGCCAGGTTTGTCAGCACATAAACCAACGTGACTACGGGTAGCGAGATGATGATAGCCAGAGGCAGGTTTCTAGGAAGAAAATATAAATTATAACAGAGCATTGCGGTCTGAGAAGAGAGCAGTTGATGCCAGGGATGGGTGGCTCACGCCGCAGCCCTCCTGCGCTCATTTAAAGTTGGCTGGAGCCATTCTGCTTTCCTTGGGCTCTCCAGCACGTCCAGTTTCCCAGCCACACGCTGCTCCCCTCAAGAGATGATGCCCACGGGGAACAGCCCGGAGGCTGACAGACGCAGAGGGAAGGATTACAGCAGGAGGGACAGTTTGCATGGGGAGACTCTGGCTGGCTGGGCAAGCAGCAATCCAAGATCACCGCAAAGGTAATTAATTAAAAACAACCCCCCGTGTCTCTTGCTAGGCAGCAGCATTAGTACATGCAGTCTCTGCTGGGCAAAGGAGAATAATTTGTGCTGGGGGGGGTTCTTCTGGGAGATGGAAAGATCCGGGGTTCAGTGGGCAGTCTGTAGGCTCTAACTCCGTGCAGCTGGCTGGACCGAGGAAACTCAAAGCAAATGAGTTCAGACGCAGCCTGAGCAGGTCTGTAAAGCCGAGGCTGTGTCGGTACAGATTTGCCTTTCCAAACAGTCTAACTTCATTTGCGAACGGAAACTGAAAAAGGAAACCCTGCTTGGTGCCATGTGTAATTGGTCTAGCGGAGCTTGAAGCCACAGGAGAGAGTCAAATACCATGACTGCACTCAGAAGACAAGAAAATAATTGCAATCTGCAAAAAACCTTTTTATAACTGTGTTTGTCAAGGAAAGGGCGTATCAAATCTTACACTTCCCAGCAGGCGCTAAGCGCTGCCAGGGTCAGCCAGGAATGGGCTCTTGCACAAGTGACCCTGAAGCTCCTATTGACAGTGCCTCCTAGAAACCTTTCCTACGAGCAAAAATGATTTATCAGCAATGTCCTGCTTTGGTGTGGCTCACCCTTGTCTCACCAAGTCCCCTGCGTAGCCCTGCAAGGCACAAGGAGCACAGAGAGCGGCCGTTGCTCAACAGCACAGGAAGGGCACGTGGCAAACATACGGACGCACAAATCCTCTTGTGGGGAGTTTACGCAAGAGAGCAATAAAGCCATGAGTGCCTCTTCCTTGCCTAGAATTCAGAGAGGTGCCATGCCAAGGAAGCAAGACCTTCCAACAACTCCGATAATATTATCAGTACAGAAAAGCAGCATAAGCCCTGCTCATACAGATTGTGATTCCCCTTCCTCTGTCCCAGGGAGGAAAGATGCCATTAATTTACCTTGTTTGCTATTTCCCTAGAAAAAGACCTTGGCTCCTGGGCTGATTAGCAACCCCTGTTACACACATGAGGATGGGGCTTCCCAAGAACGACGAATTTTACCCCCCAGGGCAGTCATCACAGGACACACACCTACCTGTAGGGATTTATCATCTCTTCTGTAACAAAATTCAAATAATTCCTGTAATTTAAAAAGAATAGCGGTTAATTCTGGTTAGCCCATGGAATAAATTAAACTCTTTGTCTTACTCATCTGCAAGGGAATTTTAGGAGGGGTAGAGAGACCAAAACCTGCAGTAAAACTTAGGATGGCTGATGCCTGGTCCAAGACCTACAGCATAAAACCTGCAAAGCGTGAGCCCTGGATGGTGCTGGCAGATCTAATGCACGATGCCACCAGCCACCTGGCAACAGGAGGGGTGGCTGCAGGTGACAAGCTGGAGCCACGCAGGACAGGGCCACCCTCCAGGCGATGATGGCTGGAACTGGTCTGCCTTCCCAGCAAACTGAGCAGGCTCCTGGTGCCTGCAAGTGCTCAAAGGGCCTGATGAAGAAGCCCTCCAGGAGCTCCAGTTTGATGCTCTAAATAATCTGTTGGCATGTAACACATCCCTCCTCTGCTGGCCAAACCCACCCCGCTGCGTTCTCTTAACATCCCCCAGGAGCTGCACCAGGCATCCTGGTGCACCGTCACCCCCCATCCACTGCCTCTTCTGAATCCCACCATCACAGCCACTTCTTTGTGCTTCCATGGCCTGGGATGTGACGTACAACTCTTAGAATTACCAGGATAACCCGGAGCATCTGCCTCATGGTTATAAGAAAGAGATGGAAGGTCCTGGACCACGCTCTGCCTGCAAACACAATCTGGGGACAAAAGGAACGGATGACAGTATTTAGCATGAGAAAAAAGAGAAAGGGCTGCATCTTACCATCCTCCATAGGCAAAGAGACCACTGTACAAAGCTAAGACGATGTTCCCCACGCCTACTTTTGTGCCTTCGAAGGAGTGCTCAGGGGTCAGGTTCGTCACATCACCTGCAGAAAACAAAACCAAGAAAGGATGGATGCAGACAGACAGTGGAGTGGATCCCAAGAGCCTTTGTGGTGGCTGGAACAGAGAAACCTGGAGGCAAAAGCCGCTCCGAGGATACTTCATTAGATGCTGATACACTTTGGGTTATGCACATATTTCTACTGGGCTGGTTCTTCCAGTTTTACAGTTTGTAATTCATCCAGGCCCCAAACATACTCGTCTCAAGCCACCGCTCATTACCGAGTCCCCAGATTTTCTCACACTGCAACGTGCTATCACCGAGGTAATCTCCCAGACACCTCCCTGCGAAGAAAACATTCTGGGGACCTTCCTGCTGGAAGATGCTATGCAAACAGATATTGTCACATTGTCCTCTCAGCTGAAAGCTGCTTTCATTCGATAACACCCCAGGATTTCCTCTACTTCCACCAGCCACCCAATAAAGCAGAAACCCAGGATTTCCTCTCGTCCCACCAGCCACCTGATAAAGCAGAGGGTTGTGGCAATGCCTTTGATTGTGGGAAGTCAGGTTCTTTGGGGCTGGAATATCAGAAGTCAGCTTCTTTAGGGCTTGAATATCAAAAGTTCCTGTTATGGATCTGCTTTTGAAATAAAAAGCCAGAAATAGACAACTCAATTGTACCTTTGGTAAGAACTCTCCCGGAGCAGCCCAGGGTTTATTTATTTTGTTTTAAAACGCTCTGCAGTTGTTTTGTTCCCTACCTTTTGATGTGGAGCCTGGGTGCAAGCCTGGGATGGCAAAGCCATGCTCCCCTGCCCAGACCCTCACTCCCCTCGGTGAGGATGCAGGCGGGGAGTGAGGCAGGATTCAAGGCAGGATTCCGCAGGTTTGCATCCCAGGAGCCCAGCGGAAGCCCATGTGATTCCTCTTAGGGCACAGATCTTTACTAATCGCCCAGACAACTGTATCACATGGCGGTCAGCAGGGCCCGGAGCTTAACCCTTCATTGCTTAGCACAAGGTACCCAGGACGTGCATCTGGGGAACGGAGAGGGATGCTGATACACCGGCATTTTTCCCCTGGATGGCTTCTCTTCCCATCTCATGCTGGAAACTTTCACTCCCCTATGCCACCCAAAGCCACCTGCGCAGAGGCTGGGTAACAAGCACGGATGCACGGACCTTTTAACACCTCGCACTCATCTTTCGAGTGGTGGGATGGGGGACTCTTCCCCCGACCGCACTCACCTTCCCTCGGGCTCACCTTTCCCTCCTGAATAATTACCAGTCTAGTTCTTTCCAGGTCTTTTGTTTTGGGAACAGGATACACTTTCTGTTAACAGTGACTGTAATTAGCTACCAGAGGGGCACACAGACGGACTAGGAGAGCAGGAGAGCTCTCAAAGCATTTCAACACCCCTTGGGACATCTTTTCTCAAAGAGCAGTGATGCTCTGCCAGGAGCCCAGCTCCCACCCGGACTGAGGGACCCCCCCTTCACCACGACAGGAGGATGCTCTGATCCGGGAGGAGCCAGGGCACACGCAGCATCACGCCGTGAGCTCACGCCTCCATTTCTTGTCCACAACTAGACAACAGCTTCCAGCCAAAGAGGAGGGAAAGGCAGCACGGGACGGCTCCAGGAGCAGCACTGAAGCAAAGAAATTACACCAAAGCCTGGCATTTCCTCACACTGCGGGTGGGCAGGGGGGGACGGATGGAGGGACGGAGGGGTGAGATGTCACTAATTACTCGCACACTTCTTCCTTGTACCCGTCGCGGCACGCACCGAACCCGGCTCTTTGAAGCATGGAAATGAAGCTGCCAGCAAAGGAGCAGCATGGCAGCGTGGAGGCAGCCAGGAGAGGAGACTTGGGAGGAAGGAGGGGGCTTTTTATTCCTCCTCGACACCTGGGAGCCGACACCTCACTGCCCTCACCCACCAAGGGTTGTAGCTCTCCAAAAACTTGCAGCAAGTTGCTCCACTTCACATCTCTATGCTCCCATGGTAAAATGGATTTAGCAACACGTCAGAACAGCATTAAACAACCAGAGGACCTGGGATCTATCTCTCCCCACTCCAGGTGTCCACATGATGCCCCTTTGCCACGATGTTTGCTTCTTTTCATGCTTCACTGGCTGCAGGAGGGGAGCTGGGACTCCGTACCACGCACGCCCTGCCCATCGCATCCCAGCAGAGCCACTGTCCTCTCCCACCATCCCCACAAAGCTGTCCCACCTTGCCAGCCAGCAGATCACCACAAAGATAATAAACTGTGCCCGCCAGCGATGCCTATACAGAAATAACTGGCACCACATTACACACCTTGGCGCAAAAAAAGCCAAGCTCCAGCAGTGATGCTGGCAAGGCATCCCAGACGTCCTCCCACGTGGGCCAAGCTGTAAAATACAGCAGGTGAGCTCTGATTGTACCCACAAACCCTTGGAAGAGAAATCCATCACACAAAGATACCTCCTGGGGGCCAGGAAGCCCCATGGGCCCCCCGTGATCTCACATGTACCCAATGGTACTTTCTATGGGCTCCAGCTGGAGACTGGGGATACTGGGCTAGATGGTCCAACAATATCACTCTTACCTCCTGCTCATCGGGACCTGGATGAAGCTTTGGACAACCTGGGCTAGTGGGAGGCGTCCCTGCCCATGGCAGGGGGTGGAACTGGATGGGCTTTAAGGTCCCTTCCAACCAAAACCATCCTGTGATTCTATGATCCTAAATCTGCCGGTGAGGCTGCCAGGCATGGCCTCGACTGCTCCCATGAGTGAGAGGTCTGTTGGTGAGAGCATCCCAGCGAAGCCGTGCCCTGCCTACCCCCCCGTCCTCCCCAGCCCCGCAGCTCCAGGCGATGCCCTGCCTGTGCCCGGCACCCCGGCGATCTGAGACCTGGTTTGAACTGGCTGTTCCAGCCGCACTCTGCTCTACAATTAACCAAATTAAGGTAACAAGCTCTGACACAAACCCCATTTGCTGGTCTTGCCAGCTGCCGAGACTCGGGTAATTGCGCGATGGGTCACCTGGGGCCCTTCTGTGGGAGGGACCTATTTCGGGTCCGTGCGCTGCATGTTCAGACCCTTTCTTTGAAAATGTTCGTTTGCTCCCCAGTCATGTCCATTCCGGTTTTACAGCAATCATCTCTCGCAGAGAGCATTTAATGATATTTAATTATTTTCAACTTGCCTAAGCAGCGAGGAGAGGGAACGCGGCCATCTCGAGAGCTCAGCACGAGGGCCCTCAGCACATCTCACTCGTGGGGGAAACCGAGCCAGCGAGAAATGTGTCATATATATGAAAAACCCCAGAGGAGAGGATCCACTCAGCTGTTGAGCCATTTCCTGAGACAAGCAGCGAGAGTTCCATCGACTGAGGCAGAAAAACAAGACAGTGAGACCCAGGCGGGGGCCAGGGGGAGGAGAGCATCCCGTCGGCAGCCCGCGGCTCCCCTTTGGCCAGCCACACCACCGCTCTGCTCCTCTCTGATCGCTGCTGCTCTGCATTAAGCAGTTCTGAACAGCGGCTGTTAAACCTGGCTCTCGCAGCAGATGAGTTGATGGGTCTGAAAAACACCCCCAGGAACCTTGACCCAACCTTGGCATCCGAGGAGGAGCTCGACTGAGCTCCTGGGTGACATCCCTGGTTCTCACCATGGCTGTGGATGGGCTACGACGCTTCACATCATTTCAACAACTTCTTTCTGTTTTATGGAAAAGTCCCTCTCTCCTCCCAACACTGGGAAGCTTTGTCAATCCCGTTTATGAAGAGAGATTAATTCTTCTCCAGGGTGAAGCCAAGGGTCTGGATTCTCTCCACCCCACACACTACTCAAGTTCACAACTCCTCCTTTTGCAGTGCTCCACCAGGACACTGCTGGGACCAGAGAGTCTCTGGTTACCTTTCCCACCTCCTCTGCATCCTGCTGCTATCACCAAAAAACCTTTTACCCTCCTCCTCCTAAGCAAACACATCCTGATTTTCACAACCTCCGTGTCTGCTGGTGTAACATTTGCTGATGAGACATAAAGAACCAGACCCAGAAGCAGCGGTGCGAGCCCTGGAGCGATGCACGGCACGTGGAACCGGGAGCAGAGACCCTGGATGAACACGGTCCCTTTGATCTTTAGCACAGCACAGCAAGGTGCGTCCTCAATGCCCCCGTGTCTGTCCCCATCAGGGCAGATTCAAGGTGCCAACCCTCAACAAACCACCCAGTGGGTTTCCAGCCACTTCCATAAATTTGTTTTTTTCTTTTCATCTCTGCACAACAGGTTCAGTCCACAGTTGGCTGACCAGAGCCAACCAGCTCAACACGCCAAGAACATCTGGGGAGGGCAGAGCCTCCTGCTGCCACCCACCCCTCTGGCACCATGGGCAAGGCCATTCATTGCGGCCCAGGAGTCGAAGGCTGTGAGAAAGGATGAATTTAAAATGCAAGAAATAGCACAGGAGCACACACAGCTATCGACTGCACTGAGGAACTGCTTCTGCTGGAACCGAAGGCTTCAGAGAGAGGAGGTGCAGACACAGATGCAAAGAAGCAAATACCAAAGTATTAGCTGCTCTCTGGTTAAATACGGCTGTGTTGCTGGGATAGCTGCGCTCGGGAAAATGAGAAGCCAACAGAGGCTCCGGTGTCAGCTGCCTTCAAACCCTCTCAGCCCCCAGCAGCGGGGAGCAGGGTCCCCCCAGGCTGGAGATGCTCCCCAGCCTCCGACGCAAGGCACCTACCGCCATCCCGCTCCGTGGCTCATTCAGGGTACCGAGAACAAGCGACATGCCACAATCCGCAGCTCCATGGATAAAGCAGGTTTTCAGATGTCAAGGCACATTCCTGCCCTGAAGAGTTAAGAGCTTGGAGCCTCCATAGGGATGTTAAACAAACAAGAGTTCCCATCGTCATTAAAGGCCAAGCCTCAGCGTGCGCACACAGAGCCGCTCACACTCACTGTGATCCTAACAAGCAGCACAAGTCACTGTGCTTCTGTATTTTGGGTTTGTTTGTTTGGGGTTTTTTTGTTATTATTAAAT